GGCGGGACACCCACCCTTGGCCTCGTCTGAGGAGGTGGAAAAGACCCGCGGAAACCCAGCACGGGCTGCAGACCTCCCGTAGGGCACTGCCTGGAGAACCTCCGGTCGAAGCCGGGAGACGTTCACGCGGAGGATTCACACAGCAGCGACCAGCCAAACCATGGGACTGGTTTGGGTTGGATGGGACCTTATAGACCACCTCGCTCCACCCCGCTGCCCCGGGCAGAGGCCAGGTCAGAGGTACCTGCTCTGCTCTGCTCTGCTCGGTTCTCTCCCCGCGGCAGCCCTCCCGCCTCCCCTGCCCCCCCCTCTCCCGCGCTGCCCACCAGTGACACCCGGAGCCGGCACCCTCTGCCTCGCAGAGCTTCCCCCGCCGCGAGTTTACGACCGGGCTGAGAAACGGGTGCGGAATACGCAATGGGGAGCTGCAGTGCAGAGAAAATCTCTCCAGCACAGACGGGGATTCTGCCCTAGATTTACGTCGCTTCCCTTCAACAGATGCAAATTTCTTCACACAGGCACGAGTGCCAAGAATTAATGAGGATTTTTTTGTACGGAAACTCTTTTACGGCGACTCTGCGCACTGGGACCCAGGCTCAGGACGCTCTCTCTGTATCAGCGGCAGTTGCAGCGATCCCGATGTTATTTGTTTCCTTCCTGGAGGACTGGCAGTAGCTCCAACACCTCCCCTTACGCCACATGAGCCAAACCAGGGTGGATGATCTCCTTTTGCTATTATTTCATTTCTCGTTACTCAACGGTCGGCTGCTGCGAGCGTCTGGCTGAGTTGTGGGGTTTGATTTCCTGTCTGCTGCAGGTCAAAGCTTATGTCACCACGAGTATATTTATCCTGGTAATTCAACTCAGATGGTTCCTCTTTTATTTCCCCTGCCCCTCCTTCCAAGCAGAACTATAAAACCTGACTGCTGAAAAAAGCCGAAGCAGAAAACCTGACCACGTGCAGCCAGCCACCGGCCGCGGGGACAGGGTGGCACCCGGGGGCAGGGAGCCGGGACACGGGAGACCCAACAACCGCTCAAAGCCAGGCTAAACCTCGGTGTAAGGCTCTTTTTCTCACCCAGAAGTACATTTCTGTTCTACTCGTTCATCGTTTCTATTCAATTTGTTAACGATGGAGTTGCAAAGGTGCTGCCACGACGTCGCCGGAGCCCTGGCCGCTCTCTCCCCCACCAGCCTCCCACAGCAAGGCGAGCAGGACCCTTCCACCCCACCAGCCTGAAGAAATCCGTTTTGCTGAACCACTCCTGCCTCCACGTCCCCGTGACTCCGCTCGAAGGAGATCAGCCAGCACGGCTGAGAGTGGCCGGGGGGGCCGGGACTCCTCCGGCCCCTTGGACAACCGAGACCCAGGCAAGGCAACGTGCAACGGCGGTGTCTTCTGCAAAGCAGCTCACACCGGCACGGAAGGGCCACAGATGGGTCATTAAAACACCCACACAGCAGACTGGGATTCTCCAAGTAAATACAAGCCCTGTTCACTGTGGTGAGCACACATCTCCATACAAACTCCTGCCATCTCCACCAGCTTCCATGGGAGGACTTTTGTCCTTAAAACAAGGACATGCGCCCAGTCCAATGGTGTAGACTTCTACTGCACCGCGTTAACAACAAACACTAATTACAGCTGGTTTCTCCTACCATTTTAAGCTTACTGTCTGCTAAAGAATATCAGGCCCTCGTTTGTCTGTGCTGGCTCCCCTGAGCAGGAGCCATGCAAGCAGAAGACAGCCCAGGGCAGACCTCACTGGTCCCCGGCAGATCGCCCAGCTCTGCGTGGGCTGGACTCCTGGCTCTTCATCGGGTTTGGTGGGTTTGGAACATCATGGCGATGGTGGTGGTGGTTTGGAGGTGGTGGTGTTTGTGTCGTGAATGTCCTCCTGACAGCAGAAGGGGACTTTGGAGGAGGAAGGTCTTGGAGCTTCCTAGAAGCTTTGGAATTCTCTTATCTCCTCTTAGAGCAAGTTACAAGTTCAAGGCCAGGTTGGATGGGGCTCTGAGCAACCTGGTTCAGCTGCAGATCACAGAATCACAGAATCACAGAATAGTAGGGGTTGGAAGGGACCTCTGTGGGTCATCTAGTCCAACCCCCCTGCC